CCTTTGCTTTGTCGCTTAAATGATGCGCAAACTATATATCCACCAACCCGCCCATAGGATCATATCCTGCAATTATCCTATGAGTGTGTGTCCTGTATGTGTGTTTGTTGAGCTCTCAAAGCGACGTGTCTATATAAAGGCAATTGCAATGGCCAAGTTGGCACTCGAAGCGAATTGAATTGAGGAGGAGGAGGCGCTGCTGACAGCGCATAATTAGCGCATCCAGCTAATAGTTTGGCTAAATTGTTGGCTCAAAGCCCAATAGTGGTGTGAGTGTGAGGAACACCAAGTGCCCTCTATGAGAAGCGTGGAGAAAGGCCCAGTGCTAATATGCCACATAATTGATCGATCAGAGCAAGATGATGTGCCAGTTTATATAGAAATCTATATCAAGGACCAAAGACCAAGACTTCTGAAAGGACAAACACACACAGACACAGATTACATGAAAGGAAACTCTGGGGAAAATGCTTTTCGGCCTAGAAGGGAGGGGGGTTGCGAAAGATATTCAATTACAAGCCTTCCTAATTAACGTTCTGGTCCGCGAACGCGGTCGGCCTGGCCCTCGCCCCCAGTCACTTAATGAGATTTTCCACCAAATGAGCTTACATTTGCCGCACTGGCCCTACCCCCACTACCCGCCTATCGAATTGAATGTAGTTAATTGAATTTAGATGCGATTTATGTCTGCAAAATGCAATTTTGCCGCATTAATGACCACCCACAAGACACCCCCCAGACACAACCAGATTTCTGAATTCAATTTTCGGCTTTTTTCTGTTTTTTTTTTTCTGTTTTTGGTTTGGCTTTCAACTCAACGCTCATCAGCAAGTCTCATTTATCATTATTAATGTGAAATTTCCACGAATTTTCCAGAGAACCAAAAACAGAATCAAAACCAGAAAGAGATCTCCTGCCATGGCACATGTAATTTAACTCATTAGCTCCGAGCCAAACAGGGTTTTTATTTTTGTTTTTGTTGGTGAGCCTTGAATGGTTTTTCCTTTTTGGATGAGTGGCTTGCTGGTTGGGTGGGTCATTCGAATAAATACGAAACGCGCAACATTTTTGAAGCTTGACACCGCAAGGCAAACATACCGACCCCCAGCTCGCTCTCCCCCCCCTCTGGCAGTCAAATTAATTAATTTCCATTTGAATTGCAGAGTAAGCAGGACTTTTCAACCCAAAATCGAAACCAAAAAATCCAGCGCGTAGGCCAAAAAATGATATAAATAAATATAAACACAAAAGAAAAGCCAATGGTGTGGAAGAATAAAAGTAAAAGATAGAAGGCACAAAAGTGGACAATAAAAGCGCTTTTAATTAATTTCTTTCAAGGTGAAAACCAAACACAAAATGGCCAAAAAGAATGTCGAGAGGCCCAGCAATGGTGGTCGAGCAAAAAGTGTTGCATACTTTTTCGGGCAGGGCTGTGATTTATTTGCGGAACAAGCGGAATGAAACGCGTAGAGTGCGCACTTTTCAGCTCTTTTTTTTGTAGGATAGTTTCCCCCCTTTTTTTTTTGCAAGTACATGCAAATAGCCAAATTTGTTGAGGCCAAAAAATGTTTAAGGTGCGACTTGAACGCCACGCCCACTGGCCCCAACAAAAAAAAACCCCCAGGCTTGACATTAATGGAGAGAAAACTCCCTATACCCCACCGCTGCCACGCCTCTTTGCTGTGGGCAGTGGGCAGATGAGGACTGTGGGCGGGGCCGTTCGTTAGTGGTGCCTTGATGCCACAATTTTGAAGGCCTTTCAGGGCAGCTGGAGAGCACAGTGTCCGGTGGGATAAACGGAGGCTAAATTGCGTACAGTTGCTAGAGATGGGCGGTTAATATCGATAAATTATCGATTAAATATTGGAGGTGGGTTTGAAGAAAGAACGAGTTGGAAGTTGGAAGAAAGAACGTAGTCATAATGATCTTTAAAGTCTGTTTTGTAACTAAAATCTTGTACTTTTGTCATTATTGTATATATTTTTGGAAATATCTCAGAGTAGCTTACTTAATATCGATAAAGATATTTATTATATACAAAATCGATACCTCAAGAGATGTTTCGCAGAAAAAAGATACCTTTCAAAGCAAAATGGTCTATATAGTCCCTATAAAAGTTAAAAGTGATAAAGATTTCTACATTATTTATAAAATCAATAATAAATAACTATCTATAGTTATAATAGAATTCTACAAATATCAGTTTCCTTTTAAACTGTTCAACACTACTCCCCCTTTTAAAGCCTTCTAACCTCAAAAAACTTTAAACCTAAACATGATTAGTAACAAATCCTGGCTGTGACATCTTTTTTTATGTATATATTTGTTTTTTTGTAGCAATTTATGTACATGTATGCATAGGAAACTAAAAGCTGTTTCGTATAAATTACGCATACGCCATGGTGACCCGCTAGTGGGCTGCTGTTTCAGGCCCATCTTAAAGCCATCAAACACATCCGATTCGTGGGCTGGCAGAGAGTGAGCTGCTGCGGGCTCTCTGGCTTAATTACGATTTTATTGGATTTTATTCGCCGGCCTGAAGCCGGCGGCGGTAACGGGGGCAGAAACATCAAAAACATTGCCACCGACATAAATTAAGCATAATAAATAAATTACCATAATTATAAAATGTGTGATGCCGAGTGGCGTCAGTGGCAGTGGCAGTGGCATCAACAGCAACACCAAACAAAAATTACATAAATAAAAATATTAAAAAAATGCTGCCTCCCAAAAACCGACAAAAACAAAAAAAATCTCAAATGAAATGAAAAGAGACAGACGCTGGGGTTTGGGAAAACAAAATGCAAATGAAAAACCAATACAATATTTGTCATTTACATACAACATGCGTGTACGTATGCGTATGCGTCTATATGTATGTATGTGTTGTTTCGATTTATGTTGTGGCAACAGCAACTGCAGGCGACAGCAGGATACTTGAATCCTGCCAGTAGGAATGGAGGGAGTAGGGCGGAGGTTGGCTCAACATTTGCATGTCAGAATCAAATGCGACAGTTTTGACAGCTTGCCGGGCTCATTATTTGCATACAGATGATCGTAATGACGTCCATGGCGATGACGATGACGATGGTGATGACGATGAGTTGCAAGTGGCAAGGGTAACCTGCCCTGACCTGGCCTTAACATCGTGCCACCCATACATCTAAGCTACAATGCCTGGCCAAATCATTTTCAAATCAGTATTGAACTGAATCTCGAAGACCTTTAACAGATTTCACATTTCTGAATGATTTATACACGAAGACAGTGAGAGAAAAGCTTGGGTCAAAGTTTATTTAATAAAAATTGTTTTAGGAAGGGTCGGGTATCATATAGTAGTAAGGGTTGTATATGGTTTGTAGAAGCTTGAAAGATTTAAATACTTTTTAAGAAAATTCCAACAAGTTCTCTAAGAAGTATCGGGTATATAGTTATCGTAGAATACCTTGAAAGCAATGGAAACTTGTTTCTAGATGAAGTACTATATGTCTTCTACAAAGAACTCCCTTCAGAAGTATCGGGTATCAAATCTCTCAAAAACTTTAAGGTATAAGAATATTTTTACTATATCATACTATATCATATTACTATACTATATCAACTATATAACTATAATCCTATAAATAAAACCTCCCAAACAAAAACAAAAAGTACCGGCTATCACACAATCAAAAAAGGAGCCCATACTTTCTCAAAACTCTGACAATTTTCTCTCCCTGTTTACGTTTAGGATGTATTCCCAGGTTAGATTTAAGGCATAATTAAATAACATGAAGCTAACAGGATAATTAATATCTCACTTTCCCAGGAGGCACTCCTCCTGAAAGCTCCTCAGCACTTACAAGCTGTAATTTCATCATAATTCAATAGAGGCTGACTAATTTCCCCATTTTCCCAAAGAGAATAGGGACACAAGGCGGGCTGGGATGAAGGATGCTTATCCTTAATTGATTCAATCAGAATCGGATACTTTTTCTCATTTTTTTTTTTTTTTGAAAATTTGAAAATCAGAGAAAGCAGAAAGATGATTTATTTAAAGCGGAATATGGAACAGATGTGCGATGTGGCTGTGGGATGATGCCACATGTCAGTGTCGATATCAGAGCTCTGATTTTTATTTTTCATGTTGCTCGTCGAAGGGGGCCAATGCAATGTCAATATTTATGAACTATTATTGAACATTTGACGATGACGATGATGATGATGATGATAAAAAACAACAACAAGGAGCTTGGGCAAAAAGCTTACATTAGCCTGGAATGGCAGGAGCAAAAATTTAATTAAAAAAGCAAAGGGAAACAGGAGAACTGGGGAACTGGAGAACTGGAGACAGGAGACGGCAGACAGGACATTATGTTGACTATGGAATGCCAATTTATGACAGCAACGACAAGGACACCCAGGCTATCTACCTACAAATAATATACATACAAGGATATATTGCTTCCACATACATACATACATACATCCTTGTATATCCTTGTATATAGAACAAGGAGAACCAGCAGCCACACCAGATTGAACCAGACAAAATGCGAAAAAGCGAAAATTAATGGAAAATTAATTAAGTGTCGCTTAATGTTGTCTCAATGTAAACGCTTTCAACGCAACGCAAATTAAATTGTTGATGCCAGCAGGATCCCCCCCTCTTTTATATCTTTTTTTTTTTGGTGGCTGCTTTTGATTTATTGGTTTTCTCCTACCATATATATACGTATACTATACAGCTACTGTATTCTGGAGGCTCAGTTGAGCGTTAGTCTGGCCATAAAATTACATTTACAAAAGAGGAGTGTACCCCCTTTGCCCCCTATGTACTGACCACATGGCGTATGCGCAATCTCGAAGCAAAGTGCAATGGAAATTGCAATTTTTCATGCGGCTTCCCAGCCTTACTTTGGCTTTTGCCTTTCAATTCAATCAAATAAAAAAAAGTGAAAAAAATAAAGGTAGCTCCAAGATATGTAGAGTAAACCGCATTACAGTATTGCTGCACTTACCTTCTTGCAGTAATCAAGCAAATCCATTTTATCACGCAAACATGTGGCTCCGGTTGTCTTCTTGGTGAGATCCGTCACCCAGCGTCCCTCCTCGGAGAGGTATTGCGGCTGATAGACCTGACCGGCCTCGCAGAGTACGGCTATCTGGGGTTCCCATCGCGGTGAGGCAGCCTGAAAGGATTAATAGAGTTATATATTATTTAGGGAATTATTAAAAGGATTATTTAAAAAACGTATTTATGGAAATATTTATAGAATTGTAGACTATATAATATCTAGATTCTATAAAGTTTAGTTTTAAAACCCCCTCCCTTTTCCATTATTCATCAGCAAATATTTCTCTTAGCCATTCACAGACTATAATTGGTTTATGAAAACTTTATTTGTGCAACAAGTATGTCAAAAGCACATTTTTCAAATCAAATATTTGCTTAAATATTAAATGAAAAGTTTTTAGATTATTCTTATTTCCTGTTTCGGTTTGGAATTCAAACTTTTAATTGATTCACCCCCTTTTGTATAGAACGGGGGTGTAACAAGTTGTCATTGTTGTCAGAGGCAGCAGCACAAATCAACAAAGAGATATTTTTTTTTTTACAAGAATTTCAATTTCCAGCGAGAAGCCAACAGTGCGTATGCGTAATGTTTGAGTGTTCAAGTATGTGTGTGTCTGCGGGGTGTTTATAAGGGTAAGGGGGTAGCGTTTAGTGTGTGTGTGTAGAATGAGGCCTCAACAAAGCCAAAGACAAGACAACAACGAAACAACACCAAAACAGCAGACAAAGACAGGCCGAGGCACATTAATCATACGCCACGTTGTACCGACATACACATACTACAGCCCCACATTTCAAAGCTTTGTTCGCTGCCCCCCAATACATCCCTCTCACTCTAAGACATAAAAAATGATGCCCACTAAAGGGGGCAGACCTATTCGAGGATACTATAGAAGGAGAATGGCAGGATACCAAGATGTTGAAGCCAGGAAATGGCCAAAAAGAACAATTAATGGCCGTCATTAGGGGTGGTAGGGGGTAGGGGTAGGCGTGGCAAGTGCTGAGACCAGCGATTGCTTAAATGCTTCATTACCACATGACAGGATCAGGACATGCAGAGGGAGAAAGAGGTCCTGCCAGGCAGCAAAAGCGAAAACGATGATGATGAATGTCTGGCCAAATTATGCATAACGGTATCAATTGATACATTGATTGATTGACGTCATTGTGGCCCGAAGGACAAAAGGGCTAACAAGGATAATAGGAAGAATATAAAGAAAGGGGGCTTCCAACGAAAAAAAATGTGTATTTCATAATTTTTCTTAGTGTTTAAGGCAGCTACTTGGCCCAAAAGCAAGAAGAAAGCCTGGTTAAGCGACTCAACTACCAACCGATTCAAAAAGACAATGATGGGCAATCAAAGCTAGTTGTTTGCCAGGATGCGATAAGACAAAAAAAGGACTCCCTCTAGCCCTCTAGCCCTCACTCTCTCATGCTCTGATTTACCAATTATGAGCTGCAACAATGGGCGAGTTCTTTTTGCGATCCGGCTTAAATGTTCTTCTGGCCCCTTTTTTTTTTTTTTTTTTTGTTCTTCGGGCCTGCAATCAAAGTGGCCCAGACTCGGTTCGGTTCGGGGCCTTTTTATATTGTCTGGGCCAGGCTCTGGGCCCGGAATGATGAAACTGATAGCCATGCCCCCACAATCAATTGGTCTGGGGAGCGAAACAATTAAGCCAATTAAGACATGTATGTATGGTATTTTATGCTTAAAAGTCTCTTGATTAATTGGCTTTATATATTTTTTTTTTTGGATGTATTGGTTTTATTGGTATCGGCCCTAATGCATTCCTGTGAGTTGATCAAGTGTTATGGAGGAATTTTATTGATTGGCCAGGTCAGGAAGGATGTGCCAGCAGAGGGCTCTGGCACAGGACTCTTGTGCAGGATACTTGTAAAAACTTCATTAAAGCCAACTTCCGGTTGCCAGGCAGCGCACTTGAAATATGCATTGGATTTCAGTCATCCTTTCCTCTCCCTTCTTCTTCTTCTTTTGGGCCAAAACTGTCAGTCAGTCAGTCATTCAGTCAGTCAGTCTATAAGTGTGTGTGCGTTCAACTATTTCAAAAGTAATTAAGTTGGCTAAAAGGCGCCAACGCAGGCTCGTCGCTTGGCTTCTCTTTTGTTTGTCAGTTAGTCGGTGGAGACGGGGGGGTGAGGGGATTTTAAGCCAAAAATCATCATAGAGTCAGGGAAGGGAGGGGGGTTGGGGGTTTAGGGGTGACTGGATTTAAACCCCACAGCAATTTTTCCAGGCAATCTAATAATTCAAACCGAAAAACAACAACATACTTGGGCTTGGGCAATGTCCTTTTCTCTCTCTCTCTCGCTCTCTCTCTGTGTTTATTATACTTGTATGGGTGTGTGCTTGTGTGTGTATTAGTGTGTATCCTGTGTGTTTGTTTATGCAGATTTTGTTTGGCTTTGGGCCCGAGTCAGGATTGCACTTGTTGTCAGGATCCAGCCTGCACTACCGCCTGAACACCAACAATGCCATATGCCAAACAATCCTGAAAGGATACCGCCCTGACAACGGGCAGGGCGGGGGCGTAGGGGCGTAGGGGCAGGGCCAATAATAATGTCGCCAGCCATGGCAACGTACACTCTCTGTGTGTGTGTGTGTGTTTGCAAACAAAAACGACAACAACAAGGTTCTCCAAAAGGTGCAAAAAAAAGGACTCTGCCGAAAAAAAAAGAGAAACACACACTAGTTGCCAGGATAAAGCTAGAGCCATGCATGTCCTGCGACAATTATGCGGAATATCCCTCTCATCTTTATTTTCCGGCTAATGAGCAGAGTAGCAGGAGTAGGAGCAGGAGCAGGAGCAGGAGTAGGAGCAGGAGCAGGAGTAGGAACAGGAGCAGGTCATAATACTCCAACTACAAGATACTTGCTAATTTTTATGAATCCTCTTTATAGTTATTTTTTAAATTTTGTTTTTAAAAAATTAAAAGTTTAGGTTTTAAATATTAATTTAAATTTTTTAAAGTTTCTAAAATATAGACCTTATTTTTAAAGATTTTTGGTTTTTCTGAAACAATTTTTTTTAAAGAAAACAAACTTTTTGGAAAGAAAATTGAAGAAGTCTAGGCCTGACAGTTGCAGTTTCCAACCTCTGACATCCTCTGACACCCCCTAACACCCTCGAACACCCCCCTTTTCATTCGCGTAATGATCCTTTGGGAGAAAATCGAAGAAAGTAATGCGGCGAAAGGCAAATCAGAAGCCGCCAAAGTGACAGGCGACAAAAGGAAATTGCAGCGCCAATCTGTCAGTGGCGTTGTGAGAGGTGTTTCCAAAAGGGGTGGACAGGACACCCAGTATGACCGAGTGCAACAGCCAAACGCTGGTTGTTGTGGCCACGCCCACCAACCAAATCCAACGCCCAGACCGCCCGATACCCCCCCCTCCCTTTTTTTTGACTTCCGTTGGCTGCTGTCGGTTAGCTTCCTCCTATTTTTCCTCTCACGCTCCTCTTGCTCTATTTTTTTTTTCGTCCTGTGCGTCCTGTTCTCTGGTGAAAGGCAATCATGGCGGCATCCCCCTCCTCTTAGGCCCCCTTTATAACGACGCCCCTGTTTGCTGAACAAGCTGAAAGGGCGACAAATTGTAATCAAATGCACGCACGACTCTGTGTGTGTGTGTCTCTGGGTGTGTGTGTGTTGGTGTGTCCCAAAAGGGGCGTGGCTAGTTGTGTGTGTGAGACAGGTTTCGCCCTGGCTTGTTGCCCGGCCAAAAGGAGCGGAAAAACACGCTTAAATGACAGGGCAGAAGGGGGTAGAAGGGGTGGTTGAAAAATAGTGGAGAGCCATTGATTAACTGGCTGAGGGGGGGAGGGATGGCGGGGTGGAGGGGTGAAGGGGCGGTGTTGCAGCTCAAACCATTGAAAGCTCATAAAGCTGCCGAGTAATTGGAGTTTCGATCGCCGCCCCAAAAAGTATGCAACCGAAATGGAACGGAAATGAAGACAACGGAAGCGGCTGGCAAGAGGAAGAAATGAAGCAGACGGTTTTGGCCAAAATGGAGGATATTTTTGATGTTTTTATGGTGGGAATTATTAAAAAAAAAAGGGTTTTAAGAAAATTATTATTATTTTATACAATTTAGATGGTTTTCGAAGCTTTAGATTTTATAAAAATAATTTTTTGTAATGATACCCGGTACTTTTCTGCTAGAAACTTCTATAAAAAAGGCTTTAATATCTATCTAAAAAATATTAATCTATCTGTTAATTTATGTTCATTAATATTTAACCCCTTTTTTAATTTCTTAAACCTTAAACTCTCTAATTACCCTTCTAAAAACAAATATACCCCCCAATACCATCCATAAACCCATCAAAATCGCCTTAAAATTTCCACATCCTTACCAGCCACCTTGAACAAAAATCCCATAAGCCCACATTCTTCTTAATTTAAACCCCTAAATTATTATTTTTTCATTTCTTTTCTTTTCTGAAAAGTAAAACCTAAAAGTTTTCGATTTAAAACTCAAGTTGGCAGCAAAGTTTTGGGGCGTGGCTTGGCTTGGCTAGGAGAACACGGAAAGCCAAAGGCCGAGAGCAAAGCAAACCGGGTAGTAAGTACTTCAGGGGCTACTTATAATGGCCAAGAAGCATGGAGATGGCCCAAAGGTGGGGAGGAGAGAGGAGAAAGCCCAGTCCGGAGACGACAGAAACACAATTATGTTAATGTTTACTCGACCGTAATTAACTCAAATTTATGATATTTTAATTTCGCCCGAGCGGGACACTCGAGAGCGTTCTGGACGGAGTCCTGGACGGGCAGGAGGTCCAGGACCCAGGAAACAGGACCAGAAAGATGACAAAAGTAGGAGAGGCGGAAAAAAGCAGAAACATGAGCGAAACAAACAAAAGAAAATTGCGTTATAATAACACACGTAAAAAAAAAACAAAAAAAAAGAAAAAGTTTTCTCCAGAGTTCGAGTCCCTAGATGGGTCTTTTTTTTTCTCCTTTTTTTTAATGTTTTTTTATGCTTAATGTGAATAGAAGACAAATAGAATTTTAATGCAAAATAAAGCATAGAAGGTTCTATTTTTTTCTAGGTTTTTAAAGAAATTTATAAAAATTTTTCTTTATAATTATTTAGTTTTG